ACATCTTTCGCACAGAGCCATCGAAAAGATTTTAGGAATCCAACAATCTCCTGTTTCTCGTGTCATAAAACGTTTCGAAGAACGTTTAACTGTCGATCGGAAGGAAGTGAGTGGATGAAAAAGTGTTCTGTACTGCGTTGAAGACGTTGCGAGATGTTGCTGTCTTCAAATTCAAACCCAACTATTCCGTTCGCAAGTGTTGAAGTTCCCCTAGAAATTGAGTTTTTTTTCCTTTGGTTTGTTTTTTCCGTCGATCTTGTCTTCCGTGCTGAGCACCAATGCTACCAACGTGCCAGGAAGGCAGCTCCCACACCTGGACCCTACCTATCGACCCATCAACTCATGAACCGGGGACCAACGGCTTTACTTCCCATCCGAAGGAAGGCGTGATCAGAGATGTCATGCCTCAGAACATCCCGGCGGCGCCGACTGGGATTGTACCCAGGCCTGCTGGGGTGAGAGGTAATCACGCTTACCACTACACCACCGGCGCCGTTCCCTAGAAATTGATGATTTGGCAGGCGATTTGTTCGTGCGGAAAATGGAGCAAGCCTTTCGTAACAACCACAACCGTAAATGGCCAAGTCTACATGAATGAGTGCCTGAAGAAACGACTGCTCCCGTTTCTCAAATCACACAACGTTCCTACATTTGTTTTGGCTGGATCTATCCTCTTGTCACTACTCCAAGGACGTTATGGAGTGGTACAAGACGAATGGGGTCGATTGCGCCTCGAAGGATCTCAATCCCCCAAACACACCGGAGCTGCGGTCGATCGAAAGATACTGGTCTATAATGAAGCACGAACTTCGTAAGCAGCCTAAAGTTGTCACTATGGCGCTGAAAGTGTTGAAATCATGGTTGAAAACAGATAAAAAAATGTCGATTCATCCGTTGTACAAAACTTTATGGGTGAAATTAAGAAGAAAGTGCGGGCATTTGGATTTGGTGAAGAAATATAGTGAGATAAAGATACGTAAACCAAGCTTATATATAGTATTACATTCCCTCAAAATTCCATGACAATCGACTTATGTTTGGCGAGTACTTCTAAGTGATGCAATTTAATTGTGGACACCCTTTAAAACACAATCGCCTTGTACACTCTTAAAATAATGTTGAAAACGAAATGGTAGTTCTCAATTTAGAAACATCGGAACGGTCCAATAAACGCCAAATGGCTCAAAGAAGTCAAAATGGCTTGAAATCACCTAGATGGCCAAAATGGCATTGAAATCGATTAAAATTTTTAAAGCACCCTGACAACTCTCAAACTAATCATGAAATCGAAATGTCACTTCTCAATTTAGAAACATCGGAACGGTCAAAAAACCGACAAGGAAAGGCCCAAGGAAGTCTAAATGGCTTTAAATCACCCAAATGACCTTGAGATCCCCCAAACGACCAATGACAATCAATGTCCATCGGTGATTGGCACTCAATTGTGGAACAGAGACGGACGTTAAATAAAGGAATTAATAAGATGAAAATGACCAAATCGTGGGGAAAGTTAATGATAGGCAGCCATGAAAACGCCAAATCACCCAAATAACCATCGCATAAATGACATTGAAATTTCCAAATGATTTTGAAACGCCAGATTCTGTTAATACCTTTGAATTATTTAAAGAAAATGTCAACACGGAGAACAAATTCGTCAAGTTAAGATATCTTTGTTAAAAGTTACTTTCACTAGACACAGATTGGTTGGGGTTTAAAAGAAACCTATAGATATTCCAACATTAATTTGACACTCATCTTAATCGTGTTTACCTATAAAATTCAACCGTTTATCTTATACACAAGTAGTCATCATCATAAATCGACATATTATTAACTTGTGATACGTAGAGCTGGCGATAAGATAACTGTCTCTCACGCAGAGGAACATGATTCAAATCAAAGTACAAAGTTCTTGTACTCTTTTTTTTAAGATTTTGCTGTGGTGTTTGGTCGGTAAAGAAGCAAAAAAATCTCCCTAAATATGTCGATTATGACGAGCAATTATTTTAATGAACATTGTAAACTATTGTTTTCCCAACAATAGTTTACTTGAATCAACTTAAATATAGTTGTATTTTGAAGTTTGAGGTTTGTTCAACTACTGAAAATAATATATTTGAACCAACTATGGAATATAGTTGTGGCCCTTTATAAAGGGTGTATTCGATAAAAATGGCACGCACATATTTACTCACCAAAATTAAACCGACTATCGGTCTTTCTTGAAATTTTCAGGGAATGAAAAATTACTAATGAGTTATGTTTCACAAAATTTGTTTTATGCAATTTCGAATGCCCGCACCTTCCTTTTCACTCCACCCATCAATTTTTGTACAACCGATTTTCCCAGTGTTTTTGTTGTTTTTACCTAAATTTTCTTCAACTCCAGCTCTGTTTTAATAGTTTTGGGATGTTTGCGAAGTTCAGTCATCATATTTGCTATGAATTTTTCAATTGGGCGAAGTTCCGGTGAATTTGGTGGATTCATATCTTTTGGCACAAAATTGACTCCGTTGGCTCGGTACCACTCCAACACGTTTTGAGCGTAGTGGTAGGACGATCAGATCAGGCCAAAATAGAGTTGATCATTTGTGCTTCCTAATGGATGGCACGAGACACTTCTTAAGGCACTCTTCCGTGTAAATCGCACCGTTGATTGCTCCGGAAGTGATGAAGGAAGTGCAAATCACCTGCCAGATCAGGAATTTCTTTGGAAATTTCGATAATTGCTACTTTCGAAAATTCTCCGGAACATCGAACTTAGGCTTGGCAACGAAATATTCTTTCCCAGGAAGTTGACGGAAGTCGGTCTTGACGTAAGTTTCGTCATCCATCACGATGCAACAAGATTTGGTGAGCAACTTCGTGTAAAGTTTCCCGGCGTGGGGTTTCGCGTACTACCTTGTAAACATGTAACCCAGCACGCTTCATGGTTTGCTGCACAAAACCGACTGACACCTTGGACTTTTTAGCGACATCTCGAATTGACATGTTTGGACGGTTCTTGAACTGTTGCAGCACTTTCCTGCCCATGTTTCTGTCCATTGGACCACCTTTATGACCACTCCCTTCCTTCATTTGGGCACTCAGACGCTCATTGAAGGTTTTTACACGAGACAAAGTTGTATTTGAAATTTGCAGGATTTTCGGTGTGCCATTTTTATCGAATACACCCTTTAGTCGGTTATGAGCTGGGTTTTAACTGAGATTTCAGATTATGTTAAGGAGGGGCAAAAGTTCGCGCTGGACAAATGATCGTTTTGAGGTTTTCGAAGCTAGTGCAAAATAATACTCAATGTTTTGTACAAGTGGAAGGTCTTTTGAAGCCATATTTCCCCCCATAAATTATGGGGGGAAAGGGGATGTGACATTTGTTCCAACTTTATGGGGGTAGAACAAGGAAAAATCTATGGTGAATTAGGATAATTTTATTTCAAGACATGATTGAGTTTCTTTTGAACATGTTTTTAGGAGTATCAATCTTTTGATATATCATTAGGAAACTGGATTTGCCTTTAGTGGGGCAAAAGTATGAGTCGTGTCCCAAACCCATGTACTCATTCACAAATGTCTCAGAAGTATTTATTCACTCTCAACAATCATAAATGGAGCAGAATGTACCAAACGCCTCGGAACAATTGCGACCCTATTGCATTTATTGTGGTTAATCACTATGTTTGAGTGGATTTTGTGGGCATACACATGTGATTTGTAGTGGAAAAAGTTCTCAAAATGGGATAGAATTGATCGAAGTGATTATTTTCTAAATGATTTCATGGTTTTTCTGCTATTATAGAATGTATCGGAAGCATCGTTACCGTTTACAGTCAACTCTCCCTACTTCGGAATTCAACCTAACTAGTTCGAAAACCAATCTACCTTTACCCATACAAATTAACACAATTCACCTCAGCAACTCGATATCTAGAGAGTATCAATCCCTTCAACATCGATTTAGATAGAATTGACTGTAACGCCTCAAACACCAAGTCGATATATTTTCACAGGGGACTATGGGAAAATGTATGTTGTTACTTTAATAAAAGCCATCACACAATAACAGGCTTGTATGAATGTGCATACACCTCCAGTTTACGTTCTGCTACCATGACAACAATTGAATTAAACAACACAAACTAACGTGTGCCCATTGGAGAAGGGGCAGGGGATTGGACATTGTGAGAAGGGTGCAACTCATTCAGAACATACAGGTGAAATTGAACCGAGTGAACTCTTGCGTGGACCTACGACAGCGGGCGTTCAACGTTCTTAATACACTTAGCATTCAGCGGTAGTCAGGGTAGTAGTAGTGCTGGCTAGATTGTTGTTTGATTTTATACGCGATTGATGAGCAGTTTTCGTTTGAGTTTTATTTTTTCGCGAAAAACCTGCTGGCACTTTAGTTGATCCATGAAATCAGCGTAGATTGGTCGTCAATTCGTTGCGGAGGTAGAACGGTCGTTCATGTCGTAGTCGCCTACGGTAGCAAACAGGAAGATAGATCTGTTTACCCCGAAAGTGCCTGCTCGGAAGTGCAGTGAATTAATCAGTGTAACGAACTGAGGACCAAATAAGACGGAAATTGCTCAAAGCGTTGTCCCCGAGAGGGATTGGCACGTTTTTTTGCCTCGACTTCTTCGTCGCTCGAGCGGAGGAAAATTGAAAACGAGCTGTCCTACGATGTGAGATGCGAGTGAAGATTCGGGTGTCCGACGTTTGTTTTTATTCGAGGTGAAAAAAAAAGGCGGAAGAGAGTGTTTGTGACTAAAAAGGTGACCTCCTAATTGGATTAATTGAGAGTGAAAAAGTTCGAAGCGAGTGAGCTAGGAGGCACCTCATGCCAGTTCCCGGACTCCCCGTATCGTGATAGTGAGCGAGTGTTCAGCGAGATGTGCCCGGATGTTTCAACGTCTGAAGAAGTGTGCATAGCGTGCTGTTGTTGTTGCCGGAGGAATGCATCGGTTTGATCCGGAGGGAATTTCGGTCAACAGTGAAGAAGCCCAGAAGGCTTCAACTCTAGCCCGTCGGCAGGGGCGTTTAGATACCTTTCTGAACCCGGGTGTGTGAATGTGAATCTGTTGCGTTGTGTGAGCGACCGGTCTTTGTGATGAGATTGATGAGTAAAGCAAACAGGAATAATGAAGTGCAATTTTCGTTACCTGATGATGGTGCTTTGGGGGCTGTTGATGGAGCTGCTCGGATTCACCGGACGACCGATGGCAGTGGCTGGATACAGCAGTGATCCGCATCTGTTTGAGAATAGAGGTAATTTTTTGATGGGTAAATGTACGACGACTGTATGCTTGAACTGCTGCAGCAGTTCAATTAGATGAAGAAATTATTCTGGTTGGTGTTCTTAGGATGTGATATTTTGGACATTGGGTGTAGTTTGGGAGTTCTTGCTTGGCAAATATGAATTTTTAGCTAGGAATATGATTGGCACTGTTTTGATTCTTTTCAATCAAATAAAGTTTTAAATAAATCCTCTTATGGATGAATTATAAAAAATGAGCCAGCATGTAACGATTTCCTGTTGAATACGAGGTAATCCTTTTTTCAGCAATTTCTGACTGATTTGAGATTACGGTGTAAGTGCTTTTGTAAACAATGACATCAATTTCTCGCAAATAAACGCTCACTCTTAAAACTTAACTATAGCAACTGGTAGAGAAATTAATCCCCTACCTGTTTAAGAGGGTGAGATCTTTGATATATTAAGAAACTTTTTAAGGGGCTGTTCATAAGCTACGTAGACCGATTCTTAAAGGTTTTCGACCCCTCCTACTCCCGCGTAGACAATCGTCCATACAATATTTTGGAAATTTGTATGAACCGAGCCCATAAACTGTCGGAATTCACCATAGGAACCAACTTACACCGTAAATGCTTTTTAACACCGATTAGCACGCAACCGCCACGCAGCAGTTGAGATGTAGATGAATTCCGATCGAGACGATAAATTACATAGTCGGACGAGATCTCAGAGTTCAGTATGTCACTGTCAAGCCACGTTTCGGTTAGCGCAAAGACGTCATAGTCACTAGAAGAGAGTTCCAAACGAAGATCGCTAATTTTTGTTCTCAATCCGCGGATATTCTGGTAAAACATTGCCAGAGAGGAATTGGACGAGAAAGTGCTTAAGGCTGGATTCGGAGCCTACTGGCCTGCTTTCAACGTCCTGGATGGTGACCTCGTCGGGTGGCTCGAGGACTCCCTCAGTGCTGTAGGCAATGGATGTCGACTGTCGCGAAGCAGATGAAGGGCCAGCAGCAGTGAAAATTGAAATATTTTCAGGCAGGGACGAATTCTTCGATAGATTGTACTTGCCGTTGTCGTTGTGAATTCAGAACATCCTCTCTCCAAACCCACACACAGGGCCGGGACGGCTGCTGGTCGCTGTCAGCAGTGGCTCGACTGTGATGAGCGGATTAGGGGCTTCCATTATAATGGCTTCTAAGGTGCGTCCCGGTGTTATGTTGAGCAAAACAGGTGGTATAGTGGTACAATTATGTATTATGGGCAATGAGGCACATTTTTTGCAAAAAAATGTTTTAGTTTTATTCAAATCGGAGAAGGTAGAGTTTTTCCGATTCTTCTTTTGGCGTGGAACTACACAGTAACCCATAAGAGCTTTAGAGATAGGAATTAATCCGTGAAGTGACTATAGCTGACCCGCTTGTATGTGTTACGATTTAACATTTAACAATTGTCAGTTAAAATTGAAATAACCGAATTAGAGTCAAAATCAGACATTCATCACCAGTGCAATTTTATTTTGTAATAAAAACTGAATCTTTAGATTAGATAAATTTCCTGTGAAACGTTTGGCCTTGTCTGCAGCTGTTTTATTCAATAAGTATAAAAAAGAAGGATTATTGATTTCCACTTTATTATAGCAAATAACCATTGGCGTAGCTAATGGTGGTCCCAAGGGGGCCAGGCATCCTCCAGAATGATCCAGGCACCCCCAGAATTTTTGGTGTTTTGTTGACTCGCCGGTATTTTGTCAAGTTTGTCAAGCTCGATGTCATTATTTAACAGTGTTGGGGCTCTAATTAAGTCCAACGAAAATTCTGCTGGTTATTTTGCCTTGAAAGGCCACCTTTTATTTGCCCTGAAAGGTCACAATCACTTGCCCTGAAAGGCCACAATTTTGCCCTGGAAGGCACCAAACTTTTTCTTTATTTCCTTTATTTGATAACAAAATATTTGATTCGTTCGAACTGAATACTGCGACGGTCGAAACTGTTCTGCTCTTCTCCCAGTGTGTATTATCCTGCGTCAGTGCGTCTCATACTTCTCTTTCGTTCTCGGAAATGCTCGTTCTCCTTCTCTCTTTCAAGCAAACCCCACACGCATCAATATATTGACACGAAGGGGAATTATTGACAATAATATTGATGATGTGAATTCAGAAATATTGTCAATCTCGATATATTGACGTCAATATAGAATGTATTGACAATACGATTATTGTCAATAAAAGCAATCGTGTAGGGTCCACTTCAAGCAAGCATTGCGTTTATCTTGCGTTGCGAGGGGTTAGTCGATGCATCGTAGTAGGCTGTGTTTGTAACATGTCAAAACTTTTCATTATCGTTCGGACTCGGAAGGAAGCGGACGAACAAACAGCGATTAGTAAAATTGAACTTTAACGGTGCCGGTGGTGTAGTGGTAAGCGTGATTACCTCTCACCCCAGCAGGCCTGGGTTCAATCCCAGTCGGCCCCGCCGGGATGTTCTGAGGCATAACATCTCTGATCACACCTTCCTTCGGATGGGAAGTAAAGCCGTTGGTCCCCGGTTCATGAGTTGATGGGTCGATAGGTAGGGTCCAGGTGTGGGAGCTGCCTTCCTGGCACGTCAGTAGCAGTGGTGCTCAGCACGGAAAACAAGATCGACGGAAAAAACAAACCAAAGGAAAAAAAAAATTGAACTTCAAATAATGATTTTTTTTTTAAAGTCCTTTCGGGAATCTCTGTTTGAAGCCTCATTGACTTGGAATAGTTGTGGACATTACGTACAAATTCAAGAAATCTCGTTCGTGGAACTTCACGAAAAACGTAGAAGTGCGGCAAACATTGTAGAAGGAATTTTGAAATAGTTCAGGGAATTTTTTTAGAAGATCTAAAAATAGTTCAATAAACTTGTAAGACCTTCAGGGATCCTCGCTTCAAATTAGGGAACTTCGCTGCAGTTTGTCAAAGATCTTACTTCAAAAAAAGCTCCATGAACTTCTTGGAGGCTATGGAAACTTCGTTAAATTTCATAATTGCAAATATGTTCAGAGATCTTCGTAGAATTACGAGATATGTAAAGAAATTATGGAATTTGAAATAAATTCAGGGAACTTCGTAGAAGTTGAGGAAATTTTGTAAAACTTAATGGAGTTTTGTAGATTTTCAGGAAACGTTGTAAAAGTTACAGGATATTCTTAGAGCCATCCTTCCTAGACAGCAGGAAATATTCAAAAGATCTCCATATAGACGAAGATATAAGTAAAGTTCTCTGGACATTTTCCCAAGACTTCAGGTTGATCAAGTTCTGAGGATCTCCAACTGTTTAAACATTCAAATATTCTTTCAAAACTGTAAATTGTTCAGGAAGTATTCATTAGTTTTCGAGCTAATTGAATCTAATGCTAATGACATTCAAAGTCTAGTATCTTAAAAACCTGATTAAATGAAATTATAACCTGATTTTCATAATTTTTGTCAAATGCCTAGATTTTTCGAAATTTTAGAATTTTAGTTTTTTTGTTTACTTTCTTAACAACAAAAATTTTCTCCTCGAAAAATACTGTTAGTTTCAGAATGTAGGTGAGTTTCTCAAGATCTTGAATTACGAATTCAAAGCTTGCCGAAGCCTATTATATCAAACCTTTTTTAATACCTTAAATTTATTTTGAACAAAATTTCATCGATTTTTTTTCGGGCATATTTATTTTGTGGAGTTTTATGAAACTTTTGATCAGGTTAAACATATTATAACTATAGAAATTCTTATTTTTTTTTAAATATTCATGTACTAGAATTTTTATGAAATGGCTTCTAGGAAGGATGTCAATTTTATCTTAGTCTTAGGGTTATAACAATATATCTAATTTCGTTGGCTTTAATTAACATTTATATGTAAAGAATTTATGCTTACAACGTGTATCAGTGATATATTTTTTAGTTACAAAATCATGGTTGTGGAATCTCAAAACTATTTTTATTTTAATATTCAGAATGTTAAGAATTGTGCATCGACATATATCTTGAACATTTTCCTAAGTCCTAAATGTATGAAATTATTGTTGTGTGCACTTTACCATGTTTCAAAGCCAGAACTTTATAAAATTATAGAATTTAAACTCTTAAAATTTACTTTTGGTTCCTACGTCTGAGATTTAACTGAAAATAACAAAATTCATGAAATTACCTAGCTCTAAGAATTTTCTTAAGTTTGAGATGCTTAGTTTTATGGCATACGGACGCTATGTAATTTCATTACAAAAAGCATGAACAAACGATCATTGTTTAATCAAAATCAGTAAGCTTTTAAGGCTCCCCCAATCGAGGTCCCAATCGTTGTTATGAAATGAATATAATCAAATTTATTGTTTGACCATTAAAATAATATTAAGCGGTGATGATAGCAGGTGGTCACACCGACCCTGATCGGGATACGGCGATGGCAGACGCCCGTGTGAGTTTGCCGGTAATCCTGGCTCTAAACGGCGACATAGTAAGTAGCCCGGGAGGTATACCGGGTGCTGATCGGCTGCCGGGTGGGCAACGTGAGGACTTGAATGGCCGGGGTGATCTGGGATTTGCCGGGTAGTCAACCTGCAATAGCAGAGGCCGACGGCGAACAATGGCGGGCTTTCTACGAAGGACTAACTGTTCGCAATGCGGTGGCGATTGATGTCCGACTGATGATCGACAGAAAGCGGGCGGACTGACCGTGAATAGCCGGGTAACTTGGCCGGTGCCAGGTTGATTCGGCCGACGATAGAATAAGCCAGGGGCGACTAATGGTGGGTTGACCGTGAAGCCGGGTATCGATTTAACCTGGAGCGGCAGTATGGCGTCAAAAGTCGTCGGACTGAATAACAAGTGGTCCGATACTCAGGATCCCGTGATGACCGGATGACTTGGCCGGGGAACGGGTGATGGTCAGGGCTCCTAGCGGTCCAGAAAACAAAGCGTTCTCACCCCGCGTGGCTTGGACCGATGGCGAGGGTGACTAAAATTTTACACCACACGCAACAAACTTTCCTTG